TTTAATTTTAGTTTTCGAATATTTTACACAGTTTTGAAGCTAGTTTTTGTATCCATGAAAATCCGGGGATTAAAAAACTTTCCTTAAATGTATTCKAAAATTCCAAGCTTTTCTTCGATTTATGACAAATTTCGACAATTTTTTGCTCAAAATTTACTTAAAATTTCAAAAAATCGACTTTTTCAAGGTGAAACCATCAAGAGTTTCGTGACAAAAGTGCATTTTTTGAGTCAAGTTTAAAAAAAAATATTTTTTTTGTATGAATCTGACTTACTTTTAAGTTAAGTTTGTTGTAAAAAAACAACAAACAAAACCTTTGTTTTATTATTTACTCAGCATTCTTTTCGCGTAATGTAAACCAGATGTGTCCATCAACTTTATCACTTCGATAACTATTTATAATTTTACATCGTTTTGAACTAGTTTGAAACGCAGTCAGTTGTCAATAAATCGTGCAATGTCCGGTAAGTGACTTTCCATCCCTCGTGTTGTAATTCCACAATTCTCGCCCTTAGTTTTTCGAAACGACTCTTTCACCGAAGATGAGATTTTCGGCGACCTCGAGCCCCACGAAGACTCCTCACCAATCAATTCAATCCTCGAAGTAATTTGGAATGTGGTTTTTGAAATAACCAAACTTGTGGTTTGTGTATCATCAGCAGTAGCAGCGAGTTTTCTCATCTACATTTTTCTAAAGTTCGAGAAAGTGAGGAAGAAATGCAATATTTTCCTCCTCCATTACGCCATATCATCGCTGATTGACGTCATGTTGGTACCACTGGTCATGTTGTTGTCTCAAATTGCGTTCACGGGTATCTTCGGATGGGAGGTTTTATGTTTCATTTATTCGATTAATAGCTCGACGAATATTTTGGTTTTTGCGTTTGGGGCCATGATTGGCTTTTACTGGTTCATCGACAATTTCCACAATTCCTTGATCAAAAACAGGAAAAAGTTTGAGATTTTCACCACGATTTTGGTTTATACAGTGTGTTCGATTAAACTGGCCGTGGTTGGGGGTGAATGTTTCGTTGAAAAGTCCCTTTACACCAGCGAAATTCTCCGAATCACGTTCTTTATAATTTTTTTAATAATCGCAGGGATTAATATTTTTGTCAAAAGAAAAACTCTCACAGAAATTCAAGTTAACACAAAATACGAATTGACAATTTCCTCTTTCTTGATTTTCACTTATGTTCCGATTTTTGTCCTCGGATTTCTTTTCTACTTTAATTTGAATCCAGACTGGCTTAATTTTGTTTTTTATGTTTACAATGTTACTGAAATTGTGGCTTTCAGTGGAACACTCATTGTGACGTATATTTTGTACCAAAAAAGCAAACATTTCAGAGTCGCTTGTAAGAGTATTTTCAAACGCTCGCTGAAAAACTACGACGAAGAGGAATTGGATGAAGAAAGTGAAGAGGAAGCGACTGGAAGCAACAATAATGCAAACTTGGGCTTTATTTGAGTTTTTTATTGTATTATAATTATTGTTTTTTATATATGTTCCAAATCTGGTGACAAACGACCTTGTCAAAAATGAAAAATGAAAAAAATATTGTCCATAGGCGTCGTAATAAAATGTATTTCAAATCCACTATTATTCTTTGAAAAATTCTAAGGTGAGGAATGATGAACAAATTATTAATTAGTTAACGTATAAAAATAATTTTTAACAATGTTATTTTTAAGTTAAGTTTAAAAAAAAAGTAAAAAGTTTGTTTTATTC